AAAAAAGAATATTATAAAGATTTTATTATTGAAATGTTAAATAAACACAAAAATAATTATTAACGTCTAGTTATTGTATACTATGTGATATTTAAATAACAATGAAATATATAAAAGCAGAAATTTATATAAGCTGAGAAATATAATTATCATTGAGCAATATTAGTAAATTTATTCAAATCAACTATAATTAAATATTATACAATATGCATTAGAGATAAAGTTTGTTAACAATTTATATTTAGATTTTCATATGGCAACCAAGATAAGAGAGCAAGATCATAACATATAAAAATGAATTTATAAAATAATAATACACAATCATTTATTACTTCACACTTATTATTGTACGATTAAAACTTGTTTAACTGTCTTATGAAAGGCACTACTAATTTCAAATGTTCAATATTTGAAAACTTAAATTACATATGTTGTAGAAATGTATTAAAGAGTGCCTTATTTTGTTGAATAGAATAGAATATATTAATTGCTTAGCTTAATTATATTGTTCATGCATACCTTCATATAAATTTTATTTCATGTTTAAGATGAAATATATGCTTTATGTGTAGCAAGTTAAATGCTGAAATAGATATCAACTGCCCTTGTTTATGTACTGTGACTTTCTATTATTTTTAGTTTTAAGATATGTAGATTTATATAGTCTACTATAGCAGTAGTGTATATCTATAAATGTTATTGTTATTTGTTCTTCAAATTCTCTTAGTAATGCCTGTAATATTGAACTTTGTTTAATAACTTTGAGAATATTGTATTTGAATATATATATAAACAGTCACAAAATTAACTTATTGCAGTATACTGGCATTTTAAGTTTTTAAATAACTATTAATTTAATTTAAGCAATTTAGATCTACTTAATGTATTAAATTGTAATTTCTATATGATAAAACTGCAACAGATTTAGGATTATATGTTAAATGTAATAAAATACATTTAAAGTATTCGTATGGTATAGCAAAATATGATTGATAAAAAAAAGTATTGTATTTCATACTGAAATGACCATTTACTTTATGTAATGTCATCAAATGTAATTAATTTATTAAAATATCTATTTTGTAACTGTGAAACCTAATGTTCAAAGTTTTTACAATGAATATTTTTAAATTTTGCACTTTAAGTTATAAGTGACATTGCTACATATGTATTTTACAAAATGTGAGGCGTTTTGTATTTAAAGCCTAATACACAAATTTATGCAAATATATAATTTAAAAAATGTATTCCAATAAGAGATAAATAGACTGAAAATACTACAAAATATTATAAGATAAAATACAAACTATAATCATAAATTACATGTGACTGAGGTATTTGGTCTATCTTGACATAAATAACAAAGTGTTGAAATATTTTTGTATCTACAAAAGATTATAATAAACTTGAATGTACTGGATTATAAATTTTACTTTTTATTATTTGTTCCGTAAATTTTTCAAGTACAAACAGTACTTGATTATTACTTACAAAGAGAGAACAAAAACCAAATAATTCATAACTACTTGGTACTCTCACTAAGTATTTTAAAAAGCCTCCAGACACTTTTAATATTCATATAAACTTGTATGTACCTAATATTCACATCATGTTTGCTTAAGCTATCAGCCTTTCTGGAAATATCTGATAATTATAAAACTGTATTGAATTCAACACCTTATCATCAGTTGGTTCACAAAGGTAATATTGTGTCAAGGTTATTGTTCTTGGCATTCAGTGGTTTCCTGAGATTTCATGACATCTGGTAGATCAGGTGGTAGTGAGAATGGGGTCATTTCTAAAGGTTCAAATTGACCATTATCTTGACGTATTGCTAATCCTACTAATGCAGGACATTGTGGTTTTGCAGTTGCAGATGTTAGCCCATAATCAGATAAAAGTTTACTATCTGACATTAGAACATTGTCTTTGTTGAACAGCTGTTGATTGACAGGTGGTACTTTCAATATACCTATGAGATAATTACGTTTGATACTAAATTATTCTAATTTACAGTGTATAGATGTCCGTAGTATCTTACAAAAATTAGTATAAAAAAAGAATAACAAATAATTAAAGCTTTTCTTTTGAAACGTCATACTGCGATTTTTTAACTTGTTTACGTGTAAAATATTAATTTCTTACCTTCTATCATTTTCTTAAGTTCAAGAACTGTCGTATTATCTTTCGCATCTGTAAATATCGTCATATTTTTTCGTCGGATCATTAGAAATACATCCTATGAAGAAAATTTGGATTATATTTGAGGTTATCTTGTTTTGATATAAATCAAAAAAGCATTACAAGAAATAATTGAATATTGACAAGAACTTACCATTATGAATTTCACTACGTATTTAAACTGACAAGAACAATTAATATCTAGCTCTTCTACAATGTTCCTTTGTTGATTATTGTTTACTTGCAGCTCCTCAGGTTAGAGACGAAAAGTTAAAATAAGGTAGACAGCTATGGATAACATGATCATATAAAACACGCCATTTGATTGGTTCTTCTTTTCAAACGTAAACTATGTATGGTGCAATGTTTGTTGCTTTAACCAATGACAAATTGATTATACTTTACATGCAACTATAAATCCTGAAATCAGAGGTGATATTATTTGAATACCTATTCATACATTGATACATCGAATTCGTAAATAAAATAAAAACATAATGGTATATTTTAATTACTAAGTACATTTAAAACGATGAATAAATTAAATATGTCATCGAAAAGAACTCATAGTTGCTGATATTTCTACCCTGTTGCTTGTAAAATATACAAAAACAATGTTTATATTACAAAAAATAATATGAAAAATGTGAATAAAATTAACTAGTTATCACATTAGATAAATGTTATATTATTATAATTCCAATATGTGAATTATAATTTCAATACGTGTCAACAACTCCCACCTACAGTAATTTTATCACTGCAATACGAAGATTCTCTATAATCACTAATCTACTTTATATTGTTGCCACAAACTTGAATAAATAAATAGTTGCAAAAATTGGGTATTCGTGTTTTATTAATAACAGTATAACAGTAAAACTGTATATAAATTTTACGCTCTTTATAAAAAGAGGAAACTAAATCTAATTCCTATTTGAAAAGGGACAAATAAAAGAGTGATTTTTAAATATTTCAGGATATAGAACAACGGTGCATAGCTTTCATGGAAGTATTTTGCAGGAGTAGTACTGCTTATACATGCCTAGTAGATTCCAAGGGAAGGTCCTTGGCCTTAGAGGCGCGGGGGCGTCGAACATTCGTGAATGAATTTCCTTTCCGCAGTGACGTCACTGGTTGCCATCAGTCCGTCGAGTCACCCATGAGAAAAGCGCGATCTATGAAAGGGCGCTTGCGCCTTTCAAAATGACCTCCTGCGCGGCGCTCTTGTGCTTTCCAGTGGAGACTCTACGAAAGCTCCGCTGTTCTATCGGTCACAACTCGAGTTCTACTGCGACGAGACGAGATGCGACCGTGGTATCTATCCGCGGAGTACTTCTTCAGGAAAGTTAAACTGCTACGAGAACGCAAGGACATTTAACGAGAAGTCGTTAGGGAAACAGACGAAGTAAGTTCGTCGCGGTATGTCCTGGTGCGCGGCGGATATATCGTAATTGAAATTTCGATTAACGTGCAACCGTTTACGAAAAAGCAAAGGGGAGTTTTTCGGAGGTCTACGTTGTGTTTATTCCTGTCATTATTTATTCGTTTATCTTTGCGTGTAGGAGTATTTTGTTTTTGATTGATCGATAACCGTGAATTGGGTCGTCCTCGAGTCGCGCCCCGAACAGTGGAAACATACGCACAGAATTCGCGAAGGTGGAAAGATTTTTTAATTGGTGTTCGAACGAGCATCAGCCGACGTGTTCGACAATCTTATATGTCTTGAGCAACGTCGACGTATATGATGAAATTACAGCTGTTCGTAATCGAAACGGATTACTGCTGGAGGAAAGCGTTGCTTAGGTAAGCGAGTGATCGCGGATTTTCACCAAGTTGCTTATGTTTTTAGCGCTTGTCACTAATGTTAAGCTTCTTTAGCGATGTTCCGTTTGAATATTAACGTCTTCTTATAGAATTAGATCATAGTACCATATTGTATTTTGTCATGATAAAAGAATAAGAATCAGGCGTTGATTCTTACTTTTGAAGTACAGTAGTTAATAAATTTGGGTATGGTGTTAAAAATTATCGAATGAAGTTAATAATTACTAAGATATATATTTATTTTATATTCTATACTTTTCAATATGTTTGCATAATAGAATATCATTATCTTATCTTCTTATTACCTTAGTTTCTTTTGTTATTTTCTCACATACAGTTCTATAATCGAATCGAAAATCATTAAATTTCATTAAAAAAAGTTTTGTGATATTTGAATATACCGCCAAACATACAAGTCGATAAAGTCAACGGTTAACAGCTGTCGGTAGCAAACTTCAATCGACTACTACGATTGCCGCTGTGTGTGTGTCGCTTTAAATCTGATGGTTTTCATAGGAGAGGAAGATGCGACGATGATTCAGAATGCTTTGGCTTTCTCGACTTGTCCCTCTTATTATTCACGTTCGCGGTCCTCTGGCTGACGCCATCTTCGTTCCTTTTTTTTTAAGTGTCAATTTTTTTTTAGAACTATACGATACAATACAGTGAACGCGTAAAAACGTAATGTGTGTGGACAGTGAGTGCGATGAACGGACATCGAACGGGCGGTCATCTAAATTGAAATGATAGAGTGATATCGCGATATGAGTTTGCGTCGTAGATCTGGTCTACAAGCATCACTGAAAGATTGCAAGCCAGAAAGGAGTCGTTAGCCGTACAAGTGTCCATGTAAAAGTCATTCACTTGAATTCTTCCCCTTTGAAGTATTTGTTGGTTAGTTTACGTGTTGTTTCGTACATGTGTTTTTCTGCCTTTTCGTTGCACTCCCGCGGAACGCATTGTCCAAAGTGAAAAAGGTCGAGTCCACGTTTGTTGGTTATGTTTCTGTTACAACCGTCTGCCGTAATTCGCACGCTTTTCTATCACGTTCCAGCTAGTGAGAAACTGAAAATATACAGTAGTGCGTGTACGTAGATAAAATGCACAAGTTAAGATTACCTGTCAAGGTTGAATTGCCCAGTGCTTTAACAAGGTATGGTGATATTTGATCTACAAGTATCGATACTGTTTTCTTCAACTTTACATATTCTCGTAATGTTCTTATATGTTAGCGTTGAGCTATAAGTAAAGCTACATCCCATTCCAGATTGTAAACAGTCGTGTCACGGAAACGAATAAATCGAAATAAAACATCTCTTTTTTATGTTGTAATTGTATGACACAATTTTGTTCCAAATACGTAGCACAATTCTATTTGTGTCTTTTACAGGACGTCAAAATAACTAGGGTGATTGTATGATTTCAATGCAAATGTAGTATGTATTAGGGGTACAAAGTTGTAACAGTCTGGAATGTAAGCTTTTAAAAAATTATTAGTATCGATACATTGTTGCTCAACTTTAATAATATGTCCCTCTAAATTTTGAAACACTAACAATAACCTTTGTTTCGCGTACGTATATGAAAAATTTTTAAATTTGCATTGTGCATGTATTCGAAATTGCCTCTGCCGGAGTAAGCATGAAACCGTTACGCTTACGATAGCATGCATTACATGTAGTATCGAAGTTCAAATTGAACAACTCAGTATATCCTGTTTGATTCATTCATGCAATCTGATAAAAAAAATAACCGTGTAATTTTTGGGTATATAATGCAGGTCGCTTGTGCAACTCGATAAGCGATTTTAGTCAAATCATTGAATATATTTTCAATTTAATATCAATTTTGAATGGAACGTTTCTTTGTAAGCAAAGATGGATTTTAAAAGATGAAATGGCTTTATTATTATCATTATTATCAATCGGTTTCATATAAAATTATTATAGTTAAATATAGAGAAGAATAATGAGAATCATTTGCAACAAACGAGTTAGATAAATCGATTTTAATGAATATGAGAGATATATAAAAGTAAAGAAACATACATTTTTATGTGTATTTATTATAAATAATAACGTGGTATTATATGTGCTTATATGTTTGAGCAAACAGCTGATTTGATTGTTTTTCTCTGAGCTTCGTTCAAAAACCGATTGGTCGTTGACCATCGTGCTGTTGCTTGTACATCGTAAGAAGTGACACTGATCGGATTAAAATTTTTTTAGCAGAAATATCTAGGGATCTTCGGTATCTAGAGTTGCGATTATTGAAACAGGATCGCAATAAAAGTGAATCATCGCGAAATACATTTAATTTATGATTATGGTGTATAAAGCTATGTTATGGCGTTTCTATGTTGGCAGTAAATTTGAGCACGATACATATAGGGGCACGCGTAAGGAGACGTTTATTCTATCATCATCGTGGCAGTCTTCCAACAGAAAATGCTGCTTGTTTTTCTCTACTAATTGAGTTGCACTCGTTGAGACGTTCACGCCGCCATTCTTATGGAAAGCAGCTGACCTTGGCAGTCATAAAACCTAATGCAAGCTGCAGGGCCCTATCCGCGTCTACCTAACTCTCCTACCATCCAGTTCCTCGTTTCCTGCGATACGTCGAACCTTTCGAGTAGTTTCTCTGTAGGCTTCACTGGCGAGGCACCAGTACGGCGTCGCTCATGTTAAGGGAGATCGCATTAACCGCGATCTGTAATATCGAATTTTATGTAAGTCGATTGACAGCGGTGACACGACGAGTAAAACGGTTCAACATACGGAACTTTCTGTTTTTCTTTTTTTAAATGTTTCTGAATTATAATATATATGCAACATAGTTTCTTTGAAAAACAGATTTTAGAACATAGAGGTTATAAATTGTTCCTCTTTTTGTTCGATACGGTTTTGTATGAAATATCTGAAAAGTGTAGCAAATATCCGCAGTGAAGTGTCGACAGTGAAATTGAAGGAAAAGTGGTAAAAAAATATGATGGAAATTTTCGTTGGAGTCAGAGTATTGTGCGTGGTGCGTTCCTCGAAGCTAGTGATCGATCGTTCGCGGTCGTCTGTCGAAGGGCGACGAGGTAAATGCGAGATTCCCCTGAACCACCTGTGTGTTTTCGAGTTCGCGCGCGCGCGGGTTCGCGGTTCCTTGGGTACACGTGCACCTAGCGGCTTAACCAGAGAATAGCACGAGCCGTGCCCGACTCCCGACTGCTCACCTACGTTGTGGCTTCTCGCAGTGTATTTTTGGCGTCGCACCTCTCACGAGACCTTGCACAGTCGATTCGAGTTCTCACTCGATTAATATAAATCAAAATCCTACCATTGAAGTATTCTTCGTTTGAATCCTGATCGTTTAACCTGAACGCGATCACAATTGCGGTAGTGTGATAGTATTTCGAGTTAGTTAACGGTGGAGATTTGCTCAAACGATCGCGAGTTTGTTGATGTGTATTCCTTTGGGCATGAAGTACCGTCGGTAACGTAAATCGTATAGGAACCTTTGATCGTGGCCAAGTAATGCAGCTGCAGTTACGTGATTCAGGCAGATTTTGGCGTTACACCTTTTACGAGACCTTGATACAGTGTACTCGGACTCTTTCGCTCAAAACTGTGTCGCTGGACATTCATGATCTGAAACCATGACGGTGTAGAGCTGATACGTTTGTACCTGTGCAAGTGGCAATTCAAGTTGCGTTAATGGTGTGGATTTACAAGCACGGTTACCATTAGGCTCCGTCGATAAGTTCTTAGACCAGCAAGTACGTAAAGTTTTGTCAACAACACGAGTCACATCTTGATTTCCGAACGCGATCAAGTTATGCAAATAATGCAGTTACCTGTTTGAACGATCTTTATCTCTCGTGTTTTTCTCTCTTTATTAGATTTCACGATTATGCATTCGTTGAACGCCAACCTGCTGGCACACCCTCAATGTTTACGCGTCAATGAAAATCACGATCTTGGGCGAAGCAACGTTTCGTTGATTCCTTCTATCTTTTTATCTTATTAAGTGATTTAATTGCGTCCATATTGACATGGTCGTCGTATTGTCTTCAGTAATATGGTTGCGCTGGTTTTTACCAGTCGCGTACCATAACGAAATGTGTCTTACTCCCTCTCTTGCTGACTTTGTGCCTGTTTCGCTCTGTGTTTCCGTCTTTCTCCTTTTCCATTGCCTACTTATCGAGCTCTGGCTGGCTCGTAGTATTTACGTTGTGCGTGAACATGAAGTCGGTGCAAACTGCTCTTTTGCCGGACATGTAAGTAGAGAGGGTTTATACTGAATAAATTTCACTTTTTTTTTTCTTTTTCTTTTCTTTTCTTTTCATCTTTTCATGTCGATACTGGTGACGCAGAGTACGTTTTCCGCGAAACAACTTATCGACGGTATTCCCCTGAACGCATCGCTTCATTTTTCTACACGCTTTCAGTCAGTGAAAAACGTTTACTCACCGACGGCTTACGTAAGAGAGCAATTATTTTCTGTTTACGGTGTGTCGGACTTGTATATGTTTCGAGGTTCTATTTGCTTGAAAGAAAAAAAAAAGAATTGGCCATCAGGGACGAACAACACATGGTATAATTTATCGACAAAGTGCGACAGGTAAAGTACTGTCTTCAGTCGTTAAAATAGCTGTGTACCGAGCCGATCTTTAAAGTAAGAATTTAAATTCGAATCTATCTAACTTGTTCAACACTTATAAAGAATAAATCTAAAAAGTGGTGATTTTATAATAAGAAATATAGCGCAAACGTTCTTCGTCCTTCGTCCACATTTATGCCATAACTTTTTTCTGCTAGTATTTCGGAATTTAGCCGGTAGAGCGTCAAGGCGAGGCAAAGTGAAGCGTGTCCGAAAAGAACGGTCGTTTATTTCGTACCTCGATAATTCGAATATCTCGCGGAGTCTCTCAACGTATTTTTCAAACACACGCAAACATAACCGCCTGTATGTTTACTCCCTCAGTTAATACGAGTTTCTGAGCGTGCTGGAAATTATTAGCATCGATTTATTTGTCCCATATCCACCAATCGTCTTCTACGGTTTTTCCATTTGTCAGAAAGTAATTTCTCGAACAATGCTGCTCGCTCGAAACCGCACCTATAGAACGTCGACGGAATCGATATCGTGTACAATGTACGGGAAATTGAAGAAAAGTTGAGATCATTATTAATGCAACAGGAACAAGGTAATAGGGTTGCGTTTTATTGGTTAATGCGAGGATATGCATATTCTGTGTGCGAGACCGTTGGCTATTCAAATTACAGGGGTGTGTAACAAGCATGTGTCAGGATAATTTAACTAGTCTCGAGGAAACAGTACTTGAATATAGTTCGAGTATTATTCAGATTCTAGTTTGAGAATTGTTGAATCGGTAATAAATGGTGAAGATAGATTCGTCGCAACAGTGGTGCAGCGTGATCAGCCATCTATTAGATTTTTTGAACATAGACCGTAGGTCACGTGATCGCGATCATTTGTTTCGATAGCGAACTGCAGCACGCAATTTCTGATACTTCGCGACAGATTATAAACACCCAAGGTATCTGTATTGAGTTCATAGATATACCTCAACGTTCTTTTTTTTAACGTTTCAATAAGTATTTGCGATAGATTCGAAAATATCTCATGATTCATCGAACCTTACCTGTCTAGGATCGAAGATCCGTCTAATGCGTCAGTCGTTGTAGGTGGAGTTGCGAATTAGTTACAGGGATAGAGGAAGTGAGTCACGGGCCAGGCTCGTTTATTCCATGATGTAAACGTGTCTGTTATAAAGCCGACTTTTCATGATGACGTTTTCTCGTGGTCATTCGAGAGTTGGATGCATTTCGCACTCGTCATACTATGTTCCCGCTTCTTTCTAAGCCGCATACTTCGTCCAGTGC